GGGAAAGGTTGGATACAAAAATTTTGGGAATGAAATGAGTGGTTTAAAGGCTCAATTAGGGGTTGTCTTACATTGATTAAATGTGTACGTGAATTTAAGTGTAGTGGTTTTTTTTTTTTTAAAAGTACGATAAAAATTAGAAATGGGTGCCCGTAATATCGAAACCCTAATTTATAAATATTATTATTACATGCGTGAATTTTAAATCCAAAAGACCTAAAATTTTGCATGCAACATTTTTAATTGATGCTTGATGTGATAATGTAAATTTCAAATGCAAATAAATATAATATCCGGTGCAGAATGTACGAAATGCAAAAAGTATAATTTTTTGGGATTTGGGGTCAAAATGTGTGGAAATGGGGCCCAGTCAATGTGTTTGACCTACTAAATCTTAATTATGATTAATGTAAGTGATTTTGAAGATTTGAAAAAAAAAATATGATCCCTAAATCTAATGTGCCAATATGTGAGTGAACAGTGCGGTAATCAGGGTTACCGGGGCACTTTGGGTTGAATTATCTTGCATGCATTAGTGCATGATTAATTATTCAATGTGATAAACATATTAATATTAATATTGATGTGTTAGGTGGAACAGGTAGGACAGTTGGTATAGAGACGGCTACGAAAACATCGGAAGTATCCAATGATAGAACCGAAGAAAATTATATCGAAATATTTGAGATGAGTGTATATCTTTATATGTTTTAAAAATGCTATTATAAGATGATGTTAGATGATAGAATTTAATAGCATTTCTCCAGGATTACGTGTTATGTGCTTATGTGATTGGATGATGCTTTGTATTATGCATTGTGTATTGTGGAATGTGGCGCACTATTTGAGACAGAAACGTCGATGCCTGATCACTGAGCATGCAGTGATGTGCTAGCACTGTGGTGCTTCCGAGAGGTTCGGGAGACGTGGATCCATGTGAGATTGATTACCCGATGAGGGGTAGTATGGATGTGTTGTGGCTTGTGAATGTTTTAGAATTTGATTGATGTTGTTGTTTGATACGTGTATTTACGTATTATTTACCTACTACTATATATTACTATCATTTTCATTTCATATACGACATGTATACTCACTGAGCGCGTGGTTTATTCCACACTTTTACAACTTCTCATTTTCAGGTACAAAAGAGAGAGATATAGATCAGTCCACTATCAAAAGGGTTGAGTTTTGTACAACGTTAGTATAATATTCTATTCGTTATGTATTTAATTTTAAATAAGTAAATGATACTGGTTGAGGGACTGTATAATTATTTGTTAGGTTGTATATTATGTTAAATGAGAGATTATTATAACATGTTAATAGTATATATATTTGTAAACAGACTCAACAGGCATACTTTGTGATATATGTTATGTGGGTGTGAGATTTTGTATCTATCTATAACCTCGAAAACAAACAAATGGTACAGGTTTATCATCATGCTTGTTAACTAAGGTGATGAGTGGTAATGTTACACCAGTGGAATTGATTAGTATTTTATTAATTTAAATTATATATATGTAAACAGGTGTATCAAAAATCTAGTCGCGTCTTATCCTTGGGAGACCGGAATGGGGCGTGACATAGTTTGATATAGTTCTTATTTTACCTGGATTTTCAATATATATATATATATATATTACAGTTTGTTATTATGTGTTGTTGTATTAACCTAGTTGTTACCTTTTAAATAGTGTAGCAGATCACCTTTTCTACATTTAAAGCCATGACTAAGGTATTTTGATTTATTTTTAACAAAGAAGTTGGTCTTATCTACTTGGACGTTGTTGTTTACTTTTGTTTTTTGTTTGGTGATTCCTGAGGTTGAATATTTTGAGTAAATGAATTTCTTAACATATTTGAGAATATGATGATGGCACATACATTGGATGCGTACGTTTGTTTTTACTTGTATTCCACAATGACGATAGAGTTGTTATAACAATGTTATCGAATGCAATTTTTTTTATGAATTAGATATACATGGACAACAGTACGGATGAATTATGTTTGTTACTTACACTTATGCATAGGGCTATTCGGGAGATGTTTGTTGTGTTTAATGTTGTGGTGTCTATAATGTTGATGATACGAGATATGAAAAACAATGGTATCACATCTGAGGTGCCACAACATTTCAAATGGAGTCGGTAACAGATTGAATACTTACACTGTCTCATTTGGGAGAGTGGCATAACGTGTATTAGCCAACTAAGGATGAATAGACACACGTTTGTGGTTGTGTGTAATCTGGTACGTGATGTGGGGCGCCTAAGTCTAACTAAGTACGTTAATGTGGAGGAGATAGTGATGATGTTCTTAAGTATTTTAGCACATAATGACAAAAATATGACAGTTAAGTTCAATTTTCTATGCTCGGGTGAAACTGTTAGTCATCATTTCAACAATGTGCTTACAACGGTTCTGAGACTACGTAGGTTATTACTTTAGTCCCCTGAGCCTATACCGTGCGAACAGTACCCACAGTAAATGAAAATGGTTTCCGATAAGCACAAACTTTGAAACTAATTTATGTTCATGTGTGTTTTTGTCACGTTATATGCATATTATGTATAACTAACTTTTATTTATATTAGGAATTGGATGACACGTTGTTAATATGGCCTAATTTGCATTTCAGTGCATTTATGAACAAAAATATTATGATAACTTTGTGTAATTATATATGAACAAGAATGAACGTTGGTGCGTAGTATTCGTTGGATGACAGGTTGGTATTTACGAGTCATGAGTGGAATGTCATGTGTATGTCAACAAGTATCTAGGTGCACTATACAAATCTTATGATTCATCTGTTAAGGAGGAAACTGCATTGGCATTGAACACTGCACGACATGAAGTTGGTGTACCAAATGCGATAACTTTCCACCTGTCTGCACTAATGGAGAATGTAATTGAGGATGGTGTTAGGAATAACGACAAAGCATCTGTTCATCCAATTGGAACAAATGCATACAACCGTGATCTCATTTGGTGCATGATAAGTGTAGTCATGTTCATTGTGGGTATTGTGCTCACCTATATTGTGTACTCTGCAATGGGGCGTGGTTTAGTTTAAGTTGTTACCATAACAACAAACAATTTGTGTGAATGGTTAGACCATATGTAATGACTTGTGTACATGTACTATGCAAACATTATTATGTTATGCATTTTGGTGAAAAAGGATAGTAATAAGTTAATATTGTCCGTACGTATAACTGATATATGTTCGTAATGTTGAATGCGTATAAAATGTATGCATGTGATTCGTTTTATGATACGAATACGCATAACTTATGTACGTTTGATCCTTCCTAATATGTAAATTATATGTTTTTGTAGTTGTAAAGGAAGATCCCCTTGATTACAGATGATGAATCGGACGTCATAATTAACACTTTAATAAAGGTTAAGAATAAAGACAAATTACCACCGTTGGACTGTTACACACACAAAATGGTGGATGGTTTGTTGCACGTAGTTAAACGACGCTAGCGAGGATTTACATTGTCCTTTACTAACCTAATGCACATCATTTTCTTCTAGGAGAGGCAATTCTTCAGTATTTACACAATGCTTGACTTGACAGTTTTTCATAAGACCTGTTAAAGAAGTGTGCCGTCAAAGAACTCGAAAGTGGAGCAAATGAGTATTTGGAAGTAAGTTACTTCATTGTTTGTACTTTCCGTACATTATTTTCAATTCATGAAAAAATATATATTTTTTTGGTGTCCATTAACACATAGTTGCATGTTATTAATTGTAAGAAGATGTTTTTGCTGTACACTACTGTCTCGCACTATGCCCAAATTTTCAATATTTCGGTATTATTTTCAAGAAAGATGAAGCGAGTTCAAGCCATCATGCAAGTGATAGTGTTGAGACTTCACCATCGATTAACCCTGTCAATGAAGTTGATGTTTATTGTGATTGATGATTGACTATTTCTATCGATCGCTTTATCCTCATTTTGTTAGTAACTTAGAATATTTGTATGTATTTTGTATAAAAAATAAATGTGCTTAGAATACTTGTATGCATTAAAAATATATGTGTATCTAGGTAGGTAATTATGTTGAGCCATTTTGGTTTTTATGCACACATAATAGCGTGTGTGCATGTAACTTCACTGTTCTTACTTAATATTGTTGCCTTCGTTTTGTATGTATATTGAAGGTAACAAGGAATATAAACATTTCGATTGCGTGTATTTACTGAATACGTTGCCTTACTTTTGCTCACTTTTTTTGTATAAGACTACATGTGATAATGAAATATGTTTAGGTGAATATCAAATTGTGTATATTGTTATTCTTATTTTTTTTTCAAAATTATGTGGGACAATGTTATGAGCAAATTAATGTTGTCACATTGGTGAACTGTTGGAAAAATTCAAACCAAATTATGTTCGGTATTTTCACTTAGTGACACAACTGAAAATTGGAATGAAATATAAAGGTGAACAACATAAATATAATTGCAAAGCCAACATTGACTTTGGATTGAATAGGAAGTGAAGGTTAAAATTGTAATTTAATGTGTAAGTAAAGAGATTTGACTCAAAAAATAAGGTTTATCTTGGTCCTCATAATACACCAAATTACTTTTCAAATAAAGTACAGGATTACATAACTTCATTTGTATCCTATCTAACTTCATTTGTATCCTATCTATGTCCAGGGTATTGGATTTTCATTGAATAGGTTTAGATTAAAAAGCCAAACCAATCCTATCCCCAAAGCTTTACCAAACTCCCCCCTTAGGGTCTAAAATAAATTTCTAAAACTTTGGGGCACGTCCCTGATTATATCCTAACGGTCGAATAAAGAAGAGCGTAGACCCGATAATAACACGACTAGGGTTTTCAGTACCCGCCCTGGTTTCACTCAAACCCAAAAAAAAGGGCGGGAGTAAGACAGTCTTGAGGGTCCTCTCCCAAGAACATTCTTTACTCTCTCCATTTTTCTCTACAACCTCTGAAAGGTTGAGCGATGTCGGTCGGAGTTCGCGAACTCTCAGTGCTCGGCGAGTTCAAACCATTTGGCTTAATAGCCGAAGCCCTAGACGGCAAGCCCGCCGATGATGTAATCGACAGTTACACTTATTTCCTATTTGATCCCGAAGTCTGTAAGCAAAGAGACGAAGCTGATGACTCGGACACATCATCGTCTTCGAGTGATCGAAGTGACCATGAACTTTTCATCAGAGGAAATCGGTACTTCGTTCACGAAATTAGATTTTTTTCCCGTTTTATTTGAGTTAGATATCATTAGGCTTGGAATTTTAAGCTGTGTGCAACTATTTGTCAAATCTTGGAAAGGGGTTATTTTGTGGTAAATGTGATTTACTGGGTTGGCATCGGTGGGCTGATGTATTTTGTTCTGCTTTTCATGTTAATTTGGGTTTGTTTATGGTGGCTAGTAGACAAGTGATGCTGTAGATATATTTTTTGTTGATTGTAATTTCTAACGGTTTTGTTGGACCTTTTTTGGGTGATCTTTGGGCTTTAGTAGTGTCCTTGGTTTGGTTTGCTGGAAATGTCTTTGGCGAATTGGTTTAAGAAAAGATTGTGTTCGAGCCCAGTCAGCTCTTAGCGCACCTTAAGAGTAACAAGTTTCTTTTATTCTTCTTCCCCTTCTATTTTCTTATAAGTACCTCTACAAGAACAAGTAGTTAAATACCTATCAAACTGAAGAAAGTTGTTAAATATTAAACTGTATGCATTTCCAAATCTCGTTGTACCCTAGGTCCATGTTTAAGGAGTGCAGAAAATTACTTTAGCAGAATTGGAATGACAAGAGGAAATAATATTCACCAAAAGGAAAGCTTGTGCAGAAATGTTGGAAACCTATTTCAAGCATCTCTCCATGGGCCTGACACATTCTTAGTTATGCCTCTCTTGCTTTTCATTTGTTTACTTTGGTTTCCAAGCTTATAACAATTCTTGCATTGTATCTATTATTTTGTCATTTTTGGCATTGTAACAGGATAATATGGAGTACAGGTTCACGAGTGCATAAGAGATTCACCTTATCCTCCTCGGTGATCATGGTACTTCTACCTATTCTGCACTAGACTTATTCAGCTTCTTATCTGTTTCCCCTGTGTGATAAGATGTTGGGCATAATGGATGGTTCCTAATTACTGTCGCATAGACATAGTTAGAATTCTACAGAATCACTTGAATCCTCGTGTTTATTGTTCTTGATTTTTGATTTTCTTTCTGGTTTGATTGTTCACCTCACTACAAGTTCACAACATAAGACTTGGCAGTTGATGCTTCATCATAAATTTTATTTATATCATTCTAATACTCTGATAAAAGTTTGGCAGCATTATAAACCATGGATCTTTGTAATTTTTAGCTGGTAGAAAGTTTTTGCCCATTCCAACATCTTCATCTCCCTGTACTAATTTTCTTATCTTTTCCCTATTTTCTTTAGACAAAAGTTGAAATTATCAAGAGAAAGAGTTCTATTCCAAAGCGGAAACAATTTTGTGATTGTTTCCAATAAGTTTTTTCTGGGTATGTTTGTTAAGTTGGAAGTCACAAACAATTTGACTTTTTCTATGGAGGAGCGAGATATGTTGTAACTTTTGTAGGCTTGTCTACTACTTCACGACCTTATGGGTGATTGAATCCATCTGATAAGGTTGGGGGTTTATTGCAATACTTAACTTTCGAAGATGCCGAGGTCTCTGGCTAGAAGGAAATGGCGTCTAAAGTGGCTGTAGTTGCAAATATGGTCTAGTGAACCCAAACGTCCCAAGTTCGAAACTTAGCAATCCCTTGGGGTTAGTGTCTTGGACGTTAGCACAGTTTGTTTCATAGGCTAGACCTCCATTGACTAGACAAACCATATCCATGCTTTGGGTATGCGTTCGACTTCCTGTTAACTGTGTGAGTCCCAATCTCCAAATGGGGAAAAAATGGTCTAGTGTGGTCCCCATTAATTGAATGTGTCTATAATGAAAAGGATCTACATTCAAGTGAAACGAATGCATGATAAATAACATTTGAGAGATATATAAATTCAATAGAACAACTAATTTCATTTAATTTTGGAAATTGGGTGATTGTACAAATTCTTCCTCAAGATTTAAATTTTGAGTGCCACCAGATATTAAGCAAATAGTGTGGAATTGCTTTCTGATAAAAGAGCTTCCAGTTGATTCGTTTGCTTGACAAGTATTATTCCTTAATCTGCCTCGCCATGAAGTGAGTCTAACAATTTTGTTGGGCCGTTACCTAGCTTGATTTTGCTTCTTTGATTTATTTTATACTATTTCTGCACCAATTCCTGTAAATTTATTGGAGGAATACTATGAATTAGATGCTATTAGAACATGTCTGTATGCTTCTCAAAAAGGATCCCTAGTAGTGACTGAAGTTTCAACGAACCTTATGTAGGAATTAGAATATACATTTATATTGGTGTTTAATAATAATGCTATATATTTTTAATTAGATGGTGGTGGTTAATGCGACTGTTGTAGATTTGTTCCTGACGCGTACTTATTGGAGGGTTGAGCCCTTTTGGAGAGGCACAACTCTTTTGAAGAAGTGCATGGATTACTATAAATATGCTTTGCCAAATTTCATTTCGGCAATCTATTTTATACTTCTTCCAGTTATCTAATGTGTGAACACTCTGGATTATGTGTTATTTACAACAAGTCTGCATACTCCTCCAAAACATTCCCCAAGAGTGACCGAGGTTTCAATGAACCTTCAAATAAGGAAAGACAAGATTGCTAAGTTTATTTCATTATTCCAAGAAGAAAAGTAGGCCAATCTTTGACACATTGGCAGTGCGGGGTGAAATTATCTTACTTCTTCTAAAAAATTAGTTTGACACTTCGGTGAAAGTGTTAGATTCATCATCCATCTCTTTGTTATATGTTGTAATGCCTTTTTAGTGTTGTTCGTTGATATGAGCTTTTGCTATGTCACATAAAAATTAAACTTGCTCAATTATGTCAGTGTGACTCTGTTTATCTTAAATTAAACTTGCTTTTCAGTTGTTCCATTTTGCCATGGTCAATTATTTTCACAGATATTTTAATTCGAATTCTAGGCATGCTGGTGCCATATGGGTGATATGTCTGAGGCTCTTCTCTGTGTTCTACAAAGTGATTGTTTAACAATCTACAACACGGCAGGTGAGTAGGTTTGGACATGATAATTTGTTGTCTATTCTTCTCTCTCTCTTTTTTTAAGCATATTCACAACATTGTATTTTGTATGGTAGTTTGAAATTTTGTATTTAGTTGTACTTTATCATTCGCGCTTCTAGTTCGTTTCTCTTAAGTTGAAAAGTTATATTACAATACTTGCAGTTTGATATTTTTCTTGTCCATAATGCAGTTGACTTACATTTAATTTCCCACTAAAATAGTCGTTTTGCCTTTAATGATTTGGGCCACTGAGTTTTCCTTTTTCCTAGAGAATTTGCTTCATCTGGTATATGTTCCTTTAAGTACTTTTGATGATGTTGCCATCAACACAAGTTTGGGATACACTGTGTGTGGGTTTCACTACAAAAGCGCAGAGCAGGTGCAAGGGAGAGAGAGACAGAGTGTGTGTCAGTCTTGATAATCTCATGTATGTACGACATGTCCAAATTAACGGAGTCTGTACTGTATACTTACATTTGTAGTTGTAGAGGCTACACTATAAAATATTATAAAGCCTTACAAAACATTATGGGATAGATCAGTGCTGTTCTCGCTAAAACTTACTCTGTGATTGGCAGATATTAGTCACTCAAGTTAAACAATTAATATTTTGGGCAACTGATGCTATGGCACCAAAATAGTAAACAAATTTGCCTACAGGTGCCAAAAGGTAAGGGACAACCGTGATTTGAAAAATAAACACGGTGCTAAAACACACTTAAAAATGAGTGGGCTTACAGCTAAAAAAGTCAAGTGAGTGAGTCACATTCGTGACTTTGGCAATGTCTAACGTGAACTAATGTTACTCCCATCTTGTGTCCAGGAATTTGCAAACTAAAGGCCATGCATCCCTCAGCATTGCCAATTCCCTATCCTAGGTAGTTCTAGTGCCATTAATCATCCACAATTGATAAATCATCTCCTTTTACTTTATTCAATATGTTTGAATGACCCATATACTTTGAAGAAAAGATCCGTAATCAGGTTCTCTAATTTCTCCCCTTTCCACCCTTCCCCCTCTTTTCTCTTTCTTTCTGTACGGCTCGATACCAACTACGACCCTATTCTATATTTGATCTATTCCCAAATGCCAACACCTTGAACATAGAGGAAATATTACCCAGATTCTATGATGTTTGACATTTTTTAATCATTTTAGGTTTTCTTTATCATAAAAGTATTTTTCTATGCTCATTCATTTAAAAAAAATGCATATTAATGGTCTTCTGAACAGGTGAAGTGGTATCAATTCCTCTTCCCCATACCGTCACATCAATATGGCCTCTACCTTTTGGTTTACTCCTCCAGCAGGCAGTTGAGGGGAATTTAACAACACATGTTCCTTTTCCACCTTCAAGTCCATTGTCAAGTGCCCGTGATATATTCCGTCCTAAAAGAGACATTGGATACAGTCCTCAGCATAGTTATTCTTCACTGTCTGCATTTGATTATAATATTAAGGGAGATGGGGCTTCTATGCCCTCACATCTTATTTTGAAGGATCCTTTGGAGGAACCTCAGGTATGCATGTTCCTTCCCTTTGAGTAGCTCAGATTCTTCTGAGCGTTGTGTTTGTCTTTATGGTCTTTTTGAATGTTTATCCTCTCATGATACTATTGTATACTTTTTTTCTTGTTTCGAAGCTCACATGGCTGCTGGCTCTATGATTTTCTCAGTTAATTTATATTGAGGAAAGGGGAAAGGCAAGCATAATGAGGGAATTTGATGAAAAAACAATTTGGACCAGTGATTGTATTCCTCTGATGGCATCATTTAATAAAGGTTTCTTCTATTTATTTCCTGTTAGTTGCTGTGCACCCTTCTGGACCTGGGGAATTTTCATATACATGACAAAATTTGTCTGCAGGGAAGATGCAACACTCTCTGTGGGTTGCAGAAGTTGTTGATTGTAACCTTGAAGTTGCAAATTCTAAATTATCTGATGTAGTTCCTCCGGGGGTGTTACCGAAACAGTGTTCCTTTCGAAGGATATGGCAAGGGAAGGGTGCCCAAACAGCTGCTAGTAAGGTGCCAGACTTATTTTTCTTTCATTTGGTGCATTTTGGATGTACTTTGGGTCCAGAACGTTGAGATCTCCATTTCGGAAACCTTTTTCACCTTACTGTTCATGTTTTATCTTTTGTGTTGGTGCAATCTTTGAAATAATATGCATAAACTATGATGCGATTTAATATAGCTTGATGCAACTAATGCCTCTGTGGCAAATTTACAATGGAATACGTTTCAATTCAATAACAACCACATGAACATCGGTTTAATAGTAAAATCTAGGATTTGGCTGGGGCTGAGGTTGCCATGTTCAGGATATGTCCTTGGCCATCCTTTGCCTACCATGTTGCATGCTTACTGTTGTGTTCCTTTCCATTTTCAGCACTTGACATTTACTCGATTTTATGATACTTGTCCTACTTCTGAGAATCTATCAGTATGGTGTTTGGTCTAGTTATTCATTTGCCTTTGCTTAACTTTTAGCCCTCCAATGATTTTAGCAGGTTTTCCTGGCAACTGATGATGATACTGCACCTATTATTTGTTTTCTTCTCCAAGAACGAAAAAAGTTGTTGTCAGTGAGGCTTCAAAGTGTAGAAATAAATAATGAGATTCTCTATGATATCAAACCCGACATGAGCTGGAGTGTACCAGCAGTTGCGGCAGCACCTGTTATTGTAACTCGTCCGAGGTAGAGTTACGTTTGCTTCTTTGTTCTTGTGTTCAGTCATTATTAAATTTTTGGACATGACTCTATTTTTTTTATTCAGAGTGAAAGTGGGACTGCTGCCGTGTGTAGACATCATGGCTTTGACTTCAGAAAATTCCCTTCTTCTTTATGTAAGTTGTTTGGAGTACTAGCTCAACATCAGTCAGCTGCCTCTGCATATGACTGTTGAACGCCTCATTCAGCCTATGATGTTTTTTGTCCAGATAGGATCTTCATGTTTTTAATATTGCATATATTAGTCCTTTCAAGCCACCATTCTTGCCTGTTTGATTTGGGTATTAGGGGTTGAAATTCGATTAAATTTACTATCATATTTGGGTCATGTTACAGGGTCCTGTCTTATGACATGAGGTAATTCCGGCCCGATCTACAATGTTAAATAACACAACATACATGGTAACAACCAATCTCAGGTCATAGATGGTGTAAATGATTGGTATTAGCATAAAAATGACAAGATTACTTAGTTTTGGATAGGATTGGATGCCCGGTACTTTGCTTTTTTCAACTTAATGCCATACAATAATAAGCAATCGAAAAATAGGAAAAAAAAGCGGTTTAAATGAGATGGGATAAAAATAATAAACTGACTATTGCTGTTGGGATGGATTGGATTGAAATCAATTGTCAATCACAATCCATGTTATACACGAACCAAACACCCCTTGAGTGATGATATTTGAATTGGTTAGACATGATGTATCTTCGATTAAAATAACATTTCAAACATATATTTTGCTGCCTGATCACATTTCTTCATTTTGCTTAAATGTTAAAAACCTTATCATCATCCTTGTCATAATTATTTTTTTTTCCGGTGGGGGTGGGGGGCTGAGATTTCTGCGATTATGAATTGACTGTTTCCATAGTTTACTAGGTATGGATAAGACCCAAAGTGGCCCTTATTTCTTTGTTTGGTGGATCCTGGTATTGCTATATCTTAGGATTTTTCCATTATGTCATACTTTAGGTGTGGGCTGAGAGCTTTTACTTCTTAACAAGAAAGTCTTCTTGTCAGGAATGAGTATCAAGAAGTTACACTGGGGAGACCTCTACTCAAAAGGTGTTCAAGAGAGTATAAACCAAACAATCATGAAACACAATCAAGTTAAATCAGATGTCTGATCCCTTAGTAACATTCCAGAATCTCCTTTTGTGTAGAAAATCTACTTGCTCATCGGTAGGAACCTAATTGAACCCATCCATCATGTTTCTGGCAATGTTAGTAATTCTAAACATTTAGTAAACAAGTCTGTAGTCACATGGCTCTGATTTCCTTCACTTGGGTCAAATGTCTAAATCTGCCCCTGTCAATTATAAAAGAAAATCATATGATTTGAATCTAATTCTTCAAGAGACAGCCAAAAACTTTGTTTTAAATGAGTAATGATGGTCATAAAGTTCTGAGAGAATGGGCCTCGAAATGCCCAATAATGACATTAATCCATCAACACATGGATAATTTTTAAGATAATTTTTTAGTTGTACTTCTCAAGAGCCCAGTGTTTCTTATCATATAAAACTTGGAGAGTCCCATAATTCATTTGTTGTGGCAGAAATCAAGGAGTATATGCTGATTCCAAGTTTTAATAATGCATAATTTATTATTTATGTCTTTCTATTGCTTACATAGACTGTGGTACACTTATATACAACAAAAGAAATATAATCAATAGGGTTTTCATGCACAACTGTATGGTAAATCTGAATTGCTGTAGATGCTTGCTGGCTGCATATCCGATGGGAAATGTTGGATGCATATTTTATACCCACACACAGGTAAAATGTCCAACATGGGTACACGATACAATTAGAAGAGACCGTCTAATTTACCCTTACTACTTCCACATGTTGGAGCTAAAACCAGGCTGTTGCACGAGTCTGATTGAGCATCCAACCCAAATCAACTGGCAACGGGCAGACAGGTCCATGAGCCATATAAATCAACATTGGGGTGGTTTTAACCTTTGGTGTTTTTTTTTTTTTTTTGGGGTAAGTACCTTTTGATGTTAGATACAAGCTTTCTTCACATCTTCTTTTGTGTGTTACTCTGGGCTTGCACTCAAGCTAATAAATTGCACCTTTAAATGGCTGAGAGGCTAGACCTTCTGACCACCCAAGGTGCACCTTTATTTTACCAGCATCCTACCCAACACCAATTGACAATGAGGGAATGTGGTAGGTGTCTTTCTGCGAGCAATTATAGATTACCATTTCTATTGGTAGTCAAAATTACAGTCATTGCATATAGTAGAAAAAGTAACTTTTACACCTAAAACTGCTAATTGTTCATTCTCAGGGTACGAGATAGAGAAAAGGTTCTTTTGTGGACAAGTCTCCTCATGTTGGAATTTCTGTTCTGCTTATGAATCAGTTTTTAAATTTTGATCTCTAACAGTTAATTTTAAGAATATGATGTAATTTTAAATATCTGTGTCCAAAAAGAATATTTAAATATTATTTTCTGCAACTTTCTTTCTTCCCTATAGCCTTTGTACTATTATGAGGAAGTTTTATTTGCCTTTTGCCCAATACTGTGTTGATAAGATCTATATGATCCATATTTGAGCCTTTTCTAACTGCAGTCTGGCAAGCAATGCCTGTGTAGATATACATTGCCTTCTGTTTTGGGGAAAGGTCAGGCTTTGCGTACTTTGAAGTCTTCAGAAATAGCTTCTGCTCTCCTTGATGTAAAAATTGTTGGATTGGCTGATGCTGTTGAAGGCCGTGTTAATGTTATTTTGACTAATGGGCAGGTATGCTAATAAAGTTTGTTGCCTATTCTTTTGGTTATTTTAAGGGGGAGATTTGGAAATTTATTGTTGTAATGAAATTTACCCATCTATAGAAATCTTTTTATAATCATTCCCAATATAGGATTAACTGGGGAGGGACCATTGTCTAGTCTATCTCCCGCTATTTCAACCTTAGAAATACCACTGATATGGCGACTTGTAGATTTTTTTCCTAATTTCTTAAGCAGGATTAAAATTGCTGTTTAGCTGCACTTCTATCATATGCTTGCCTAGAGGCATTGTAGGTGTTTATGGATAATGGATCCAAAAACAACACAAAGATTTTCTCCAAAAATATTATAATTTAATACAGCCACAGAATCATTTCAGAGGCACACCTAATGCCAGGCATGGCATTACACTCTGTTACTCGCTGTAAAACTTCACGATGGGTTCCAGATGTCAATTTCCTTTTTGCACTTTTTATTATGTCCTGCTGGATTTTAGTCTTTTTGAATACTTAAGTTAAAATTTTCCTCTACACCTCGTCTCTACTTGCCAAATCATCAGAATTTTGAAGCACTAGTCAAAATTTTTTTAATTGATTCTTGCATGGGTTTTTGATTTATTAAAGAAGAGTAGTTTAGAGATGTGTAAAAGTTTTATTTACTTCAACAATGTTAATCATACCGTCTCTTTATCCATTTTCTTTGTTATGTTTCTCTTCTTAGTAATTGGGTGTAAGATGTACTCTGATTTGGAGTAGAGGTATAGCTGTTAAGGCGTAGCAATTGTTGTATTGTGCATGTGCTGAGAAATAAAGTGGTGAGAAATTTAATGAGACTTTTCATGGCAGATTATGTTTCAATAATTGACTACCCTACGGTGTTTTGCTAAAATTACTTCTTAAGTGACATATTGTTCCACCATGTGGCTTACTTTTAATTGGTTATTAAGAAGTACACGAAATTCATTGATCTCATAAATTTATGAAAATGATTGTTATATTACTATTTTTCCTCTGGTGCTGGATATGAAGTTGTTAGATTTACAAATTTAAGCACGCAGGTTGTTTCCCATATGCCTTTTTTGTGTTCCATAAAAGTGGAGGTCATAAACACCATATTTTTCTGCTTTGGATTCTGTTTTGATGAATGCTAATAAAATCAAGAGGGTGTGCTTATATGTTTGATTTAATCTTAATCGTTTTCCAAATTATGAAAATTCATTTTCAGAAGAAAGTTGTAAAATGTTCTCTTAGTTACATTGTAATCCTATTGCACTTATCATCATCATCTTTACTTTAGAAAGTTGTAAAATGATTGCTAAGTTATGTTGTGATCTATCACATTTATCATCATTGTCATTGCTATCATAATCATAAATCAAAAGACTGTCAAGATAAATGTGATGTTTGTTGCTTTATGTCCATTTGAAGATTTTAGAAGACGAAAGTATGAATATTCTTTCCACATAACCAATTCAACGTTGTGAATTGTTCTAAGATGTTTGAAATTTGTATTGCAGAAGTAGAATTTTCTTCAGATTACACCTTCAATGACTCGAATTTATAGTTTTTTTTTGTGGGGGGGGGTTAATCTGTTGGGCAGACTGATAGGAACATAAAATCTAACTGCATTTGTTTACAGGTTTTAGACTTGATAATTGTATGCTTTCAATTTTAATTGCTTTGTTAGCTAAGTAAATGAGACTTCAGTGTACCAGCAAAAAAAAAAGAGTGAGACCTTAGTGATGTTGCTGTGTTTTGTTTTATTTTTGATCCAGATCTACAGATGTACATTGCGAAGAAGACCATCATCATCATTGGCAAATGATTGCATCACTACAATGGCTGAGGGGCTCACTTCTAGTTTCTTCAATCATTTTCTTGTGCTTCTGTGGGGTGATGGTGATTCGGCGTATTTAGCCCAGGCAGATTCTGGTGTTGACTCGGAGTGGGAGTCTTTTTGTAGTATTATAATGCAAATGTGCAGAAAGTCTAGACATGTCCCTCGAAGGAGTTCAAATTCAGTTTCTCACTCATCATGGGAGTTTCTTATCAACAGTAGTTTTCACAAGAACTACTGTAAACAAAAATTTATTCCTGAAATTTCTCCTAGAATGTCACTTGATCTGCAGGGGTCAGATTCATCTGGATCTTTTCTACATGGTATCCAAAGCCCAACAGAGCTATTTATGGAGACTCTGGATTCTTTGCATGGATTATATGAAAGCCTGAAATTAGACAATCTTCGCAAACGGTGAACTCTGATAACTTACAATATTTTCGTTCCTTCTATCGTTTCAGTTGAGAACTTAATTCGTGTGCTTTTTCCTTAGTAGCTGGTCAATATGTTTCTGCATTTTTTCCATATTGCTAGAAAATGTGTTAGTAGGGGTCATATGTTGACTCTCTCTTTACTGCTCCCTTTATTCTAGGGCAAAAATGTGTCAATATTATGGACCATATGGTACTTTGATATCTATCTCTCAAGTTTCCAGATTCTTTTGCTTTTTAGAATAGAATCATAACAATTGGGTCTATAGAATATGGTAGTAATATACTCCTCTTACCTGTGAAAGCAGTCATGTATAAAGTCCTTGAAAGTCTCTATTTTTTGCAAAGAATGGAGTTTGAAACTTTATTGGATTTAGTTCTTGGGATAAACTTTCTTGCAAAAAATGTGCTCCCAATGTCCTTTGGATATTGGGAGCACATTTTATGGTTTCACCCCATCGTAATGACTATACTTTCTTTTTAACTGGGGATGTTCCAATTAGTTTGATCCATTACATGGTAGAGTGCGTTCACTTTGTGGTGGGGGTCTAGCTTGATGTATCTGTTGACTGAGCAGCATTTGATGAATGATGGAAAGTTTTCTATTAATGTGAATAGTTTTTAGTGCTTGTGCATTCTTGCTTGATGTCGTGGGAGTGATATGTCTGATTTGTTTTAACTTTTGTAGTGCATTGTTGCAGAATTGTTTCCCCTCGTGATGTTGATTGTGCTGTGAACTTAATATTTGAACGTGTCATTTCAGGGATTTGGGTCTTCTGGTGGTTCTACTATGCAATGTTGCTGATTTCCTGGGTGAAGAAAGCTATTTGGATCACTATGTACGTGACTTTCCTGGTCTTTCAAAAAACTTTGGGATATGTCGGACCTCATTTTCCCAGAAAACTCCTCCTAGTTTATTCAGATGGCTTGAACACTGTTTGCAACATGGATGTAATTCTGCTAATATTATGGACCTTTCCCCTCTGATTCGTAAAGATGGAAGTTCTGCTGGGAGCTGGGCCCGGAAGATAGTTGCTTTCTATAGCCTTTTATGTGGTGCAGAACAGTCAGGGAAGAAACTCTCGTCTGGTGTTTACTGCAACATTGCCTCCGGGTCATCGTGTACGAAAGAGGAGCTAACAGTCTTGGCAATGGTTGGGGAGAGATTTGGTTTGCAACAGCTAGACTTGCTACCTGCTGGTGTCTCTCTTCCTCTACGACATGTATGCTGATAGCTAAATTTTTTGTGATATTAAGATGCTAGTTTGTTAAGTCTTGAAACTTGAAAGTGACGCTTTACATTTATGGAAGTATAGCGTGCTTGTGGTAACAATCTACCAAATTATGTGTTGTAATCAGTGGCTATCTAGTCTGTCTTGCACCAAAACTATTTTGACCAAAAGATATTATTGTTATGCTTTTTTACTTTTATAGAGAGAATGTGGGTGTCAGTTACTTCTTTGTTATGCTGTGCTAGTATATGGAGCTATCCTTGGTCTGTTCCTTAGGCATGTTGGATTCCATTATATATTGGCATAACTAATTCAGCAAATTGCTGCTGTTTTTGCACTTCTTAGGTATTGGACAAGTGCCGGGAGTCTCCTCCTACTGACTGGCCTGCTGCTGCATATATTCTTCTTGGTCGGCAAGATTTGGCTTTGTCTTGTTCGTCACATTCAAGACAATCTAAGGAACTTGAACCCCATACCAAATTGAATTTAGTTTCTATGTCTACACCTTACATGCAACATCTGCATCCTGTGACTATTCCTTCCTCAGTTTCTGATACAATTGGATTGGAGAATACCAAACTTGAGGACACAGATTCCGTTGATGGAATTTCTACAGATGGTATGGAACATATTTTCAATTCTAGCACACAGTTGCGGTATGGTCGTGATCTGCGATTAAATGAGGTTAGTTATGGTCCGTTATGTGTAGTCAATAATTTTATGAAGGGCGTGAGTAAGTCTTAAAAAAACATGTTAAAAGACTATTCTTTGCAGGCAAAGGTTCTCGTTGTCTTGGCGGTTATGATTGACATGGTGAATGTCTAAAACTAGCTGAATAGAGATTGCATTCACGTGTGCACGTTATTACCTACTTGATGCACATGCATCTTAGTTAAAGAGATGTCTCACTTACATATCCACTTTTGCAAACTTAAATATATTGTCTTTAGGGTGTGTTTGGATTATGTATTAGGATTGACCGGACTGAAAAGTAAAATTCATGTCTCCTCATCCCTTATTCGGTTTAGTTATTGAAAAGTAGTGGGTCCATACTTATCTCATACAACACTTTGTTGGGATGGGGGTATTGAAAGATGGTATAATCATTACAGTTACCAAAGAACCCCCAGGTCAATTCATTCTAAGGTTTCTTAGGGATAAAAATGTCTTTTTCATCCAATCCTGATTCCTAATAGATAATCCAAACACACTCTTATGGTTTAGTGTATCTGTTATTGCCTGATATCACCCAACTTGATTATTTATTTACAAGATTTATTGTGTAGTTGCATTGAATCTAGCTACTTTTCTTCTCTTAGTACATTCTGGTGGTATTTCAGGAAGTACAATGATTGAGTGATAGTTGAATTACAGTTCCATCATTGTACTCGATGACTATGTCTTGTAGGTTAGACGTCTGCTGTGCTCTGCTAGGCCTGTGGCAATTCAAACCCCTGTTAACCCTACTGCCTCTGATCAAGACCTCCAACAGGTATACAATACTTGTTTTTAGCTTAGTTGAATGCTAACTATTAATTTTCTTTTTAATAATGTCGGGGCTCTCTTTCTTGTTATTTAGTTTCTTGAAATGGAAAAATAAGTATTTTCTAGCACATTTTATGTTGGCACTTTTTACAATCATGAAATGGTTTTCGTTTGTCTTTTGACTCTTTTCACTGAAAATATGGCCCTTGATCGAGCACATGGGATCCAAATAATTGGGATAAGGACTATGTTGAGGTGAGTTGAATTGTTTTGTTTTTTTGAAGTGTCAGTTGAGACTTGCCAATGAGATGAAAGGTCTTTGAGTTTCTAAGACATTTTTATACTTGTGTATCAAAATCCAGTTATCACTCTTTTATGCCATGTGGGCAAAGCGCTGCAGGAGTGCTAAAGTGAAATAATTTCAAAAATGTATGGTGATTTCATCATCTTACATTTCTTTTCCAATATTCTTGGGTATTCCTTTGTTATTTGGTTAGTGCTGAATATATTACGTGTCGTGCTCTTGGAAAAATCAGACTTTTTCTAGAAAAGAACTAATGGACAATTAAAATTTTGCGGTAAACAGCTATATGGAATCTTGAAGGTAAAGGGTTGTCTAAAAAGTTCTTGATCAACTCAGATGGTTTGAATGTGTTTTTAATGCATAGTGTACGTTCTAATCTTGAGTTATTTCTGTCTAATAGCCAATTGCAAGTTTAATCCAATGTCTGTACATCCATCATGTATGTAATAACTATCCCTTATCTGCAAGAAAGTCATATATGTTCTCATAGCAACAACTTCATATTATGATGTGAACAGATTAAAGACTCTTGTTTCCACACCCCTGTATTTTAGAAAAACTTATAATGTGGAATTACTTGGATCATAAAATTATTTTCACTGGTTTGACTTATAATTTTGGTTAGGGATTTATAGTGATCTAGATTGTGAACCCACCACGTTTCGGTACGAATGATCCAGATTCATTGTCCCAATGTCTATGGTTTGGTGCCTGAAGAAATGCATCGACTCCAATAGCATAGCCGCTTGATTTGTGTTTTGTAGCACTACTAAATACTAAAACAGTTGTTTTATATACCAATTTCTTTGTTCTTATTTTGGAGCTTCTTTCTATGTCATTTGTATAGGCTCAGTTATGGCAGCTTGCTCAAAGGACTACTGCTCTTCCTCTTGGTCGTGGCGCATTTACTCTCGCAACCACATGTACTCTTTTAACAGAGGTGCTTTTCTTTTTTATAGACCAACCTCTTATATCATTGAGGTTAAGATTTATCTTTTTTCTTGAGTATTAAAGCTCAAAGGCTCCTGAACTGGTTTTCCTTATTATTTTTTTATGATGGCATAATTGCACGTTGTGCGATTTATTGCGTAAAGATGTATTAACGGTTCTGATAGGGACCTTCAAAATATTTTGTAGGCACTCACAGTCCCAAAGCTTGTTTTAGCAGGTCGGTTGCCTGCACAACAAAATGCGACGGTATGCATAGTACTTGAACAAAGAAATCTTCATGCTCTGTGTGTGTGCTTGTGTGATCATTGTTTTGTTTTGCTCAGCTTGTTCTTTGGAATGTGTTTGGTTCCGGGTAAAATGTTTCCTTTTTTCTTTCAATAATTGGAAATGACAGATTTTATATTATAGGAATTAAGTTTCTGGTCCAAATGGACACTTTCCTTTTGGTAGTCCTTGAATGATTTTTCCTGTTTATTCTTTTTCTTGGTTAGATAATCCTTCTTAGTCTTTGGACAGTGATTGTGGTTATAACTTAAAAACATTTCATTTGTTCTCTTCATCAGTAGTTTCCAAATTTGTAGATTTTATACTTTTTTTAATCTTGCACGTCTTAATTTCTTGACAGGTTAATCTAGATCCAAATATAAGAAATGTAATAGATCTTATATCTTGGCCTGAGTTTCACAATGCTGTAGCTTCCGGATTGAGACTTGCCCCTCTCCAGGTTTGTTTCTGATTGCCTACATCATAGATTATTTGTTATCAGCTGATGCAAACAATATTCCTGCTTTTCAATTTTATTGAATTAGTAAAAATTTTATGCTGGTTTTCTGTACCATATGTAACTTCTACCTTTTTATTTATTTGAAGATGATTTTGGGTCATCATAATTATTTTCAGCTTTCCATTGCTTTGGTTTTAACTAATCTGAGATTTTTGTCTTTGTTTTATCTCTCGTCTTACTGCTACTATTGGAGTGTGTTTTCATAGGAGGTACTATACCATGGATCATATATGATGCACTTTGAATTTTCTCTTGTGCAGGGGAAAATGTCAAGAACATGGATAATATATAACAAACCCGAAGATCCAAATGTTATGCATGCAGGACTGCTCTTTGCACTGGGATTACATGGACATCTACGTGTTCTAACTATTACTGATATATACCAATATTATTCACAGGTAAGTATTTTATCTTTCTTGACCTGTTTTGTACTTTTCAATATGCTGTTACTTATCTTCACATTCTTCTTCTGTTATTTTACTTCACGAACTTTTGAACTTAATTGCTTCTTTTGAGTTTTGAAGATACCTATATGTACTCTTTTGAGTGTAATTGTTTTGGATATTCAGTATTGACATTGCAATAACTAGGTATGCTAGCAACAGTTCAAAGTGTTTCTAGGATGATATAACTAACTGATTCAGTCTTCTTTGCCAATGCTGCTAAGTAAGATTATACTTATATTTCCTTAATTGTTCTATTGTTTCTAATAATTTCTCCTTAAAGTAAAGAAATATATATAAAATCAAAGACATAAACAAACAAAACAAGCTAATATGATATGACATGGATGGAATTAGTGTCTGATAAGGCATGAGAAAGTCAAAGTTACAGCTACATTCTTGTTGTTGGCTGCCTTCCTGCAACGAATCACCACAACTTTATCTTCATCATTGCTCCTTCATATCAATTCCATCCCCATGATGTGTAGCTGATTCTAGGTAAAGTAGGAGCGGCATGCTACCACAAAATTTGCTTCTGAGGAGTCCCTCAGATTAGCGATGAGAAAAAGCAAATAATTTATCTTACACCCTGTTTATTTGATGTTCATAACATTGTGTCTTTATTGTGTTTTTTGATTATTAGCCTTCGAGTTTGCTTCCACCCTCTTCTTATGGTTCTTTCAAACCTTTCTTATAGAGATATATTTTGATTCTTGACATTTTTCGATAATTTTCTGTGTTTCATTTTATATGTTGCAGTCATGATTTTTTTCCTTAATAGGAACATGAAAGCACCACTGTAGGATTAATGCTTGGTCTTGCAGCATCTTATAGGGGAACTATGCAACCCGCAATTTCAAAGGTAAAAAGGGATGTGCCTATTTGACCTTCTTGTGTTATTATTTTTTTTTTTTTCCAGTTTTCCTCGTTTACTTCTGGTAGTTCTGAGCAACTAATCTAAAATGATATCTAATTAGGGAAATTATTCAATGCTAATCTTTGCATTTTTCCCAAACTTTATTGCGCCCCCTTGCCCTCTGGTTGGCCCAAAACAACCCCCCACCCAACCCACCACAGAAAAAGAAATTTTTTTTTTCTGGAGCTTTAAACTTTTGTGTTAATAGGTGATTTCATGTGCTTTGTGTTACTATTTCTAATAAAGCTTTGTTGTGGTGAGTTATTTTCATATGCATGCTTGAGACAACTCTCCTTCTAAATAAGCCATGTTTGAAGGTTATTTAATGACTTTAGATTGGTAACAATAATAACATGTGTTGAATGTATTGAATGTTTTCCTTTGTTGAGAAGAAATTGATTTGAGATATTTTAAGGCAAATTTAGTTTCTGGAGTTGATTTTGTGGTTAAGAACTACAGTTGGAATCCATTACTCCTCATTTGCCATGTGTTGCTAATGCTTTGTTTATCATGCTATGCTATGCCATGTCATGTTGTATTGCATGATCTTGTAGATGGTTTATGTTGAACTATTTATGTCGTTCATTGGCAGTCTCTTTATGTACACATACCTGCTCGCTATCCGTCTTCCTTTCCAGAGTTGGAACTTCCAAGCCTTCTGCAGGTATTTATTACACTGCTGATGCCGATTGCATGTGCTCTACAAATTTTCCTGACATCTTGTGCCTCAGGAGAATCATACATTTGCCTGTGACTTTATCACACTTATATCTGTATGCACTCGTGCATAATCCAGCTCTTCATCTAATCTTGACATCACAAAAATATTTATTTTGATTTACAACATGCTTTCTCTTGTCTGGATTCACATAGTTAATCATTGTCCCGTAGTCGTGTATGGAGTTCTAGATCTTAGTTTGCTACTATTTGAATTTGTGCCTCTGGCATGATGAGGTTGAATAAGGCTGCAGTCTAGAATTTACGTCAGTGGTTATTTGGTTGACTAACCCTTGAGACAAAAAATTCACTGGGATTATTTTTAATTTCCTGTTCGGTTCATATTGTTGTTCCAATTTTGCAGTCAGCAGCACTTATGTCTGTTGGGCTTCTTTACGAGGGATCAGCACACCCCCAAACAATGCAAATTCTTATGGTACAGTGCTTATTTTGCTTTATGTCAAAAGTTAATATTTTACCCCATGTTCATGATTATACTCTGGTTGGTGCATATCTTAGCATGAATCAAGATGAAAGAAATGGCAACAAGCCCAAACATTGGCTTGAGGTTATTGAGGTTTTATTGCGATGTTTGGACTTTGGAGGGGTCTTCTTATGCTGACTTTTTTCCTTTTTGGGCGTTTACTTTCTTCTGAAGATGATCTATTTTTTCTTTGTCAGATCTGAGTTTGTAGCTTTTGCTAGTACTGATAAACTCATGTCATTCATTCTTCATCTATTTATTTGTATACATGTGTGTGTGTTCCCTTCGTGCTGCTCAACACATCTCCACTCTTCAATATTCATAAGTAAATTCAAATGATGCTAGAAGGATCAATTACTTGATCAACTATTCATATCATGTGGTTCAAGAAGTAAGGGACTGATTTTTTTCTTGCAAGAATATTGATGCTGCAATAAAATTGAGCCCTTGGTTTGCATGTCAACTCTATGCTCTAATTTCTGGTTGGATAGAACATAAAATAGAAGTCTTGGTTAAAGATATTACAAAAGCAGAGTCTTCTTGATTATATTATTGTTAGTTTCTTTTGGCATCATATTGCTTGTTTATTGTATTGCTATTTATGTGAAAATGCCCCCCACCCCACCACCCACAAAAAAAAGAGGCTAGAATTAGCAGTTTGATTCATTTTTATGGGATGCAATCTTGGTGACAGATGGTTTTGGTTGTTTTACAGGGTGAAATCGGCCGTAGAAGTGGAGGAGACAATGTACTTGAAAGAGAGGGCTATGCGGTTTCTGCTGGATTCTCATTGGGACTTGTTGCCTTGGGTATGGTTTCAGATAAAGTAAAGTTTATGAATATATTGCTTGTAGCTAACCGTGCTCTATATGATTGAAGGTCGTGGGGAAGATGCCCTTGGTTTCTTGGATACTTTGGTTGATCGACTGTTCCAATACATTGGTGGCAAAGAACTTAAAAATGTATGTGCTCTTGCTATATTTATTTCCTTTCTTGATCTAAGTAATGCTCTATAATCAAAGTTGTTAGATATTCAACCCAAACCAAGTGGCAATAAATCATGAATACGAAGAGTGGGCTGGAGGTGATACTTTCCATGTGGGATATAAGCTCTGTTGGAAACCTTCATCAAATGGAGCCCGAGCTAACAAGTTGATTGAATAATCATACTGAACCAAACAAACAAACAAATTAGCAAATGGAAATGGGTGAGAGACTTGATTAAGTAACAATATATGGCTCGATTCTTATATGATGGCATAGTATCCAACCCAAAATTAGTGGTAATGTATGGGGAGGTCTCGCAGCCATACAAATCAACCTTGGATAATCCTAATCTTTCAATGTGGGATAAAAGATCTGTTCACAAAAATTAACTTTTCAAACTTCTCTCAATGATTTTGTTAGTCTGTTCTTCAGGAGAGATCCCAACTGCTGGCACCATCAGCGGATGAACACAATCGCAGTGCCGGGCAGGTCGTTCTTGTTGTTGAATTGCATTGGAAACTCATTTATTTAGCTTTGTAAAGGTGTTGGCAATTCTTTTTTCTCCTCTCTTTCTTTTTCTCTGACAACTGGTGCTACTGTTGTCATTTAGACGATGGATGGAAGTCCAGTCAATGTTGACGTTACTGCTCCTGGAGCTATAATTGCTGTGGCTCTGATGTATTTGAAGGTAACTCTGTGGGTACAGTGAGTATAATATATGTGACCTTTCCACAAGAAGTCACCAACTTGTACTTTGTTAACTTTAGAATGTTTCATTCTTTGTAACCTTTATGGAGTTTGCTAATGTAGCCCAGTGATTACTGCAGACTGAATCGGAGGTGATATTGTCCAGACTTTCTACTCCGTGTACGCATTTTGATTTACAAAATGTGAGGCCTGACTTCATAATGCTTCGTGTCATTGCTCGGAATTTGATAATGTGGAGTAGGTAGTGTTATTCACCTTAAGACAGCCCAATTAGTGAATACATTTCTGAGTTCCCAACACAATATACTTGTATTGTTTAGGGTTCATCCTTCCGAAGATTGGATTCAGTTTCAGATTCCTGAAATTATCCAAAACTGTGTCACAAGCCTTGGAGATGAGATGGGTGATATGAATGAAATGGATACTGAAGCTTTCGTTCTGGCATATGTCAATATAGTGGCTGGAGCTTGTATTTCTCTTGGTAAGTGATCAATTCGACTATCCTTTAACACTGAAATAAGAAAAACGTGCATCTTCTCATTAGTACCTGATTAAGCACAGTTATTATTCACAGTAAATAAAAATTGGGAAAAAATCCCTCAGTCAATCTGGAAAAACCAGATAAAAACAGATTTGATCAGGCATGCTGCATCCTGTGATAAACTGATACATGGACTGCAACTGCATAAGAGGTAAATTAGATTAATTCGTGTCAAAAATATGTTACTTGGGGAGGATCTTACCTAGGCAAATAAATTGCTCTCATGGAGCATGCCTAAAACACTGGAATTCGTTGCCAACATCTTTCAGGGCTCGTTTGGTTGCCATAAAGTAAAAGAAAGGATTATATTAACTAATACGGGCTAATTCTATATAAGCAGATAACACATAAGATTAAATATAGGATGAACATAATACTTATTGTAATCCAGTGTTTGATAAGACATTTGATAAGAGAGATAATAGAGTACTAATTACATATTAACCAAAAAACCGTCAATCTAATCTAGTTATAAATGCTTTTATTTAGTTTGTGGACAAAATAGTAAAATATAACTTAATAAAGTTTTATTGTATTATAATACCACCTCTTCAAATGGTATTAAAATTGGCTCCATAGTATGGGTAAAATGTATTAAATTACATATACGAAATAAGACTAGATATAATACGGAGTATTTTCGGCAATCAAACGTAGTATAAGGTTGGATTAGAGAGTTTTAATTTGTTATGACTCCTTAATACACCTCTCTTAATACTGCAACCAAACGACCTCTCAGTGTATTAACAACATTACTTGCTTCCTTGTGCCTTGCTGGTTTGGGTTTGAGATGCCAGCCCTCAAGGTAAGCGTTTGAGGCTTGTATGAATAACTATCTCTAAAGTATGTATATGTTGTCTGTGTGTGAGAAAGAGTATTAACTAAGCATAGAGTTGTGTTCTATTGCTTATTGGCTTTGGAATTTCTTGCATCAATTACTTGAAGTTCGGGTTTTTTTTTGATTCTTAGTTGATGTTGTGGTTGGGTATTGTAAGTACACAGCTGATCCCATCTGTGGAGTTTGTTATATGGGTAACATGAATGAGAGTCAAGGGCATGTAGCCAGTCCTATCTCATTTTCTTGTGCCTATGTATTTCCTCATATTTATGTGGACTGTCATAGTCAAACTGAGTAATATTCTCTCCTCTTCAGTATGCATGTTTTTATAACTTCTAAAATTTCTATCAAGCATATGTCTATTTATTTTATTCCAGATGGTTGATACCATTACCTTGGCAGGGTTAAGATTTGCTGGAACAAAAGATGGAAATGCACAGGAGTTGCTTTACAAATATGCTGCCTACTTTCTCAATGAGGTTTGGTCTTGATAGCAATGCTCTCTCTAGAGGAAGGGATTCGACTGCATTTCACTCTTCATATGTATTAATTAACTGAGTCCTAGCTTTTTTGTCTGTATGGCACACAGATAAAGCCTGTATCTGCTACAAGTGGATATACCTGGCCAAAGGGACTGTCCAACTATGTTGATCGTGGCACATTGGAGACATGCCTTCACCTCATTGTTCTTTCCCTTTGTGTGGTTAGTGGAGTTGGTTATAATTATTATATTTCTTTTTCATGCTCAATATTTAAAGATAGTAGCCAGTGTTTGACGTAAATTGTTCTGGGATGGCAGGTTATGGCTGGTTCTGGACATCTACAGACATTTAGGTTATTGAAATATCTTCGCAGTCGAAATTGTGCAGATGGGTACACTAACTATGGTAATCAGATGGTGGTAAGTTTCTTATGTCTTAGCATCGGATCTGTAGTCACTTTGGATGAATCACTAATGCTCCATGCAGTCATATGATATTATACAAGATAGTTTTCTTCCTGTGAAATGTAACAATCAAATTTTCTAAGAGCATAGAGAAGTATGAGAGAACACAAGATTAACTTCATGCAACAGTCTCCTACTCTAAGCATATAGATCTTTTGATACTAAAACAGATACGGGCACCATTTTTCTTTCTTCATTGGTAGTATTCTGCTTCCAAGTGGACTAGGGGTGTTTTGGGACAGCTTCCAGATAGCAGAAGGCCTTCATTATCGTAGGAAGGATTTGACCTTGGTTAAAGACATCTTAAAAAGCTGCCCCAACTTGCTTCTTCTAAACAGACTTTGGCAGCTAACCTTTTCTTGCAGAAGGCCTTTCCTGGCTGTCATGTTATTAAACATTTAATGGTCCTTGAGAATGACTTTTATGGACAAAGAGGCATTTTCCAAGAATCCTTGTTAAATGTTACGTAAGAGACTAGGAGTTCATAGTCCTAGCTAAGTAGATACTTGCTATAAATAGAAAATCCAAACTTATTTATATCTTGGGACCTCGGATGTTGCAAACTACCACATAGCATGATGATCCTCCTACATCATATACTTTCTTCTGTAGGATGTGATATCAAGCCTCACCAATGGTCTTGCTTGTAAACCTTGCTTGACTCTCCTGAATCATGCTGTAAGTTGTCTGTACTTACAGCGATGAAGATTTCTATATTAACTAGTCTACACTATGTGAAAATGGAAGAACTGGGATAGGTGGGAAAATTGGACATGTGGGTTTAGTTGTTCTTGTTCTTACTGCATTCTTCATCATGGAGAATTATGCTGCCAGCTTTCCCAGTTGGCCAGTTGCTTGACTTGAACAGTTTTTGAACCAACATTGACTAAGCAAGTTCTAGCCACATACAAACTATCTGTAAATTTTTTATGCATGAACAACTATTCTGACCAACCTTGAACTTGGGTAATGGATTCAACTACAGTCTTCTGATCAATTGTGAGCTGTGAGTAGATTAATTGGGCAAAGCTGGTCACTTGAGATGCAATACACTCTGCATACATATGCACTTCTTGTTTGACATTTCTGATGGAATCTATCTAAATTTTGTCTGGTTGGTATTTGATTATATGGAATCTTCGTATTTGTTCCAGGTAAGCTTAGCTATTGGTTTTTTGTTTCTTGGGGCTGGAATGCGGAGTTTTTCGACTAGTAACAGTTCTATTGCCGCTTTGCTGATTACTCTTTATCCACGCTTACCAACTGGACCAAATGATAATAGGTGCCACCTTCAGGTAATTGAAATGCAGAATACTGAATCTTTTTTATAAGTCCTTTTCTTTTATGTAAGGCACAAGAAAACTAATAGGTTGGACTTAACCGGTTTTAAACTCATGTTGCGACCCCATTGCAACTAATAGGACCAATTTTGTTTCAGCCTGCTCCTCATATGTTAGATCAATACTTCTTTTTGAAAAGAAAAGCAATCATTTGGATCTTATAAAATGTGATCAATTATTCAACAATCTTTTAGTTGTCGTTCCTTATCCCATTTTTGGTTTCAAATCAGATCTAGCTTACAACTTTTTTGTGCGTCACCTGTAAATGCTAAAACTCCTTCAACTTGGTCTTGTTAATTTAGTAATCAGAGGACATTTCTCTCCTTTCCATTTCCATTGTCTTGTGATCAATTATTTCTCCAGCATTTTATTATCTGAAGGGAGTATAATCTCCAGGCATTCAGGCATTTGTATGTTCTTGCAACGGAAGCTCGCTGGATTCAAACGGTTGATGTGGATACTGGTCTACCAGTTTATGCCCCAGTTGAAATTACAATTAGGGAAACTGAACATTATGCAGAGACAAATTTTTGTGAAGTCACTCCTTGCATTCTCCCTGAACGAGCTATTGTAAGTTTAATGCTGCTCTTGTCCTCAAGTAAATGGTCCTTGATACACTCAGTGGACTGTCGGTGATTTGTCATTTCCTTCATTCTCCTTCCCGGAAGTGGTCTGTGTTTATATAAGCGTATATACAACAACATGGTCATAATTTTCATGTGATATCAAGTACATATGAAGGGACTATCAAATGCTGTATGGGAAATAATAAATTTCAAAGTTGGTTGTTTCTATATTGTTTGATATCAACCTCCTTAAATAGTATAGTTAGTTCAACACCATTTTCTTAGTTTTAAGCGACTTCCTCGGATTCTCTGAAACATGCTGCAGTTGAAGACTGTTCGTGTTTGTGGACCTCGGTACTGGCCTCAAGTATTGGAACTCACTCCTGAAGGTAGAAGAGATACCAATGTTCTACTCTTATTATTATTCATTTCTGGAATGTTCCTGCCAGTGTTACATGTTATTCTTATGCAGAGAAACCTTGGTGGAGTTCTGGTGACAAGAGTGACCCATTTAATTCAGGTGTCCTCTATATCAAACGGAAAGTTGGAGCTTGTTCATATGTCGATGATCCCATAGGATGTCAGTCACTGCTATCACGAGCAATGCATAAGGTTAGTGCTCCTTTCTTGTTACATGAAGTGATCCTTCAATATTGTCCTTGTGCTTGTGTCATATTAAAAGTTCATGATGCAGGTGTTCAGTTTAAAAAGTTTCAGAGCTTGTTCTCCAAATGATTGCATTGGTGCCACTGTTGAGCAGTTGGTCAGTACCTTTTCGTCTGATCCGAGTTTAAATGCTTTCGCCCAACTGTGTTGTGACCCTTCTTGGAACAGCAGGCAAGTATCAGATTATGTTTCTTCCTTTTGGTCTTCATTTATCCTGTTGTATAAGCATCTACTTGGCCAATGATTTGGTACTCTTTCTGAAATTATTTTATTGGATCAAATAGCTTTCGAACACCTTCCAATATGATTGCACTTGGGTAAAGAATGGCAATCTAGTTGGTAGTTTAAAACTAATTTTACTGGCTGTTTGGTAGGATTGAAAAATAGGTGGATGGAAAAGGGAGGATGAAAAATTAGAAGGAAAGAAAGTGTTTCCACTGGTTGAAGGCTATTTGATCAAATAAAATGTCAACAGAACTTTCAGAAAGATTGCCAAATCATTGGCCCAGTGATACCACTTTTTGTTTGCAAAGGAAAATTAGGTGGAAAGGAAAATTGGATGGAAATGGTCTCCATCCTGCCCACCATTTTTGGGCGGAAAACTGTACAGAAACTGACAGTTTGAGATGGTGTGGAGCTAATTTACTTTATACCCTTCTCATGTTATAATAGATATTCGTTGGGACTTTTTCTTGAAACATGAATATGATGCCATATGTGTTATTCACAACCTTCAATTACATATCCTGCATCTCCTGCAACATGGATTTTTTTTTATATTTCCAATCGAATTGAAAGTGTATTTATTGGTCAAATTACCTACTGAAAAATACTTTTAATTTTTCACCCATCAAAATATGACAGGTCGTGTTGTGTCGGGTTTCATATCGTGTGAGAATTTAGTCAAAGCATGCCCAACCTATTTATAAACGTTTAAATTCATATTTCTGTTATGTCGAATTTGTATTGTATTGTTTAGCTGGGTTTAGTCGGGTTCATGTCTTATTTAGCCGAATTTGTGTCAACCTATTTACAGGTTCATCTATTTATCACTTAAACTCACCAGGCCTAACCCAAAACTTTTTTAACTTTGTGTTGGATTTGTGGGTCATGTTGGACAGGGTTAAATGCAAGAACTATGGCTACAATTTATTTTCAGTATGATTTTTTTAGTACTATAGTTGTATTTGCTTATTTGTATCTTTATACTTGTGAAATAAATAATTCTAGTATTTTATGATTTGGACTAACGCAAAAATCAAAAATATTTTTATGTGTACCAGCCTAATAAATATTCATAAAAATGAGAAAATTGTTGCACATAGAAAAGCATAATGGGGGTATCTTGGTAAAATATGCAAGCATATTTTCTTTCCATTTTGCTACCAAACGAGACGATGGAAAATTCACTTCATTTTTTTGTCTCTCCTACCAAACAACAAAGAAGGAAAGTAAGTTTCTTTCCATTGAGGATGAAAAGTTCATTCTTTTCACTTTTCTTTCCTTCCATTTTTTCGTCTTTCTGCCAAACATACCATTAATCTTGGACATAGGCCTACCCAACTGTCTTGTTTTATGATGAGCCTTTCTTAGAGATTTGTTCATAGCCCCATTTTTTGATGCAATTGATTACCTAACACAATTGGTTCCTCTTAGATGAATTGTAAGAGCAATGCTATTGAAACCCAATTTGGGGCCATTAGATTAGCTGTGGGTCCCATCATTGAATAATATCCCCTACCAATCCAATGATTACAATGCATTGGATTCCCAGATTAGATCTTTTAATATAGGCACACCGCACACAAGTATCATTATCGGTTTTGTAAATTTGTAATACTTGGTGAATCCTCGTTTCTATTTAATTTAAGCCATTTCTGCCTATTAGATTCCAATTAGACTTTTGACAATGTTCTAATATAAATGTGGTGTGTCCTACTAGGAGCCTTAAGAATAAAGAGGCACATTACTGTGTAACATGTTGTGTGTCCAAGAATAGGACCAGCCTATGGCAATCATAAGAGTATGAGTGATTGGTAGCATCTTTTGCTTGATTATTGTTTTCTATCTAAACAGGGCAACTCTTGTAATCATGCAATTTTGAGGAATTACTGAATGCTAAAAGATATTATGGTAGTTATTAGTCTTTTTCGACAATTTTTTTGATTATGTACTAAAGCTTTAAAAAAAGTGAATTAAGTGTCTTTCAACATATATTATACATGATGGTGTACCAATCTGAACAAACAGGCATTGGTGCCAATAAAAAATATGCAAGAAGTGGATGTATTTGTGACGCCCCTAAAACCAGGATTCTTTTATCAACCCGTGAAAGTACCCGTCCGTGCATGCTGCATAACCCGACACAACGACACATTTTCATTACTAGGGTCACAACCGACGCAGGGTTTGGACAGAATCTCCCTTGTACCGGGCACTCCTAAACACATAACCTGTGTACTTTCAATCATTTGACCAATCCAAAGTCCAATATATATCAATTTATACTTATCTTTACTCCATCTATCTCCTTTGAGCCAAATGAGTCGACGCCGGAAGGTTTAACAAAAATATTTTAAGTTTTTGAAATTTGAAGAAAACCTACCGGTAGAAGAGCTCTGATTCCTACCGGTAGAAGGGTTCATTGGACTTCAATTTTCAAAAACTGAAGGAAACCTACTGGTAGGAAAATCAACATTTTTTTGGTAGGAGAACTCACTGGAAATGTTTTACCAACAAAATTTGACGTTCTACCGGTAGAAGAGCCTACTAGAAATGTTCTATCGGTACATAACCATCGTTGTACCGGTAGATCTCCTCAGTTTTCCACAGATTCCATCTTTTTTCAATTCCAATTCATTCCAATCTTATACAACAACTCAAAATCATATAACATATAATTTTATATAATCATAGTTCATCAGAGTTTGTTCTACAATTCTTTTCACAATATTACATGTCCAAAAACTAAATTACATATTAGTTTTACAAAAACATTATTTAAAGCCATTTCTTTGCTTTTCTTCATGAATGGGAGCCTATGTGAGAGCCGTCCATTGGCACTTGTACCGCACTTGAAATATCATCTTCATAAAAGAAGAACCACGTTCGATAGAGTATTTTCTAAAGAGGTTACTCCTCAACCTAGATGCATATGAAATGTCCACATGCAATTCAACAAGTAATAAATAATATATGTAAGACTTGGAATTAATGTGAGTAAAAAAGGGATACAAACTAAGTGTAGAGCCCCCGTATATATAGTCAATGAGAGTTACCATAAGGACAAAAAGGTAAAAAAGGAAAACTTAATAAGACCCTAATAAACTAGGCTGCTGCTATATTTTCAACACTCCCCCTCAAACTAGGCGCAAAAATGTCAACTAAGTCAAGCTTGACAACGGAGTCCCGAAGAATAGACAAAGTGACTGGTTTGGTAAAAATATCCGCAACCTGATCACTGGTCCCCACAAACGATGGAGTGACAATACCACTGCTAACCTTCTCCCGAAGAAAGTGAACATCAATCTCTATATGCTTTTTCCTCTCATGTAGTACAGAGTCAGAAGTGAGCTGAATAGCAGATCGATTATCACAATATAATGTGGAAGGAAAGGTCACTGAAAAACCCAACTCGTCAAGAATCGATCGTAGCCAGATAATCTCACACGTGCCAAGTGCCAGTGCCCGATACTCTGCCTCTACTGATGAGCGGGAGACAACTGCCTGCTTCTTGCTCTTCCAAGAGATAAGATGAGTCCCTTGAAAAGCACAGAAGCCCGTAGTAGATCGACCATCACATGCTCCTCCATAATCTGAATCTGAATAACAGGCTAGAGAATCGGTTTGAGATCCTGATACATAAAACAACCCAAGTCCAGGACAAGACTTGAGGTACCGAAGAATATGATAAACTGCATCAAGATGAGGCTGACATGGCCTGTGCATGAACTGACTAACTCGGCTGACTGCGAATGAAATGTCCGGCCTAGTATTGGCTAAGTAGATAAGTCTACCTACCAATCTTTGATAAACTGTCGGATCTTTCAACTCCTCACCTTCAGCAGTAAGCTTCAGGTTTGGAATCATGGGTGATGATGCTGGTTTGCACCCCAACATCCCAGTGTTTGAAAGAAGATCCAAAACATACTTTCTTTGAGAAAGAACAATACCCCTGCCGCTACGGGCAACCTCAATCCCAAGAAAGTATCGCAGAAATCCAAGGTCTTTCACATCGAAGGCCTTCCCAAGGTCTATCTTGACCTGCGCAGTCCCAGAAACATCATCACCAGTAATAATAATATCATCAACATATACCAGAAGAATGACACACTGTCCAGAAGTATTCCGTCGAATAAAGCAGGTATGATCAGAATGACACCTGGTGAACCCCAATTGTACGACTACATCACTAAAGCGAGAGAATCAGGCTCGTGACGACTGTTTCAGTCCATAAAGAGACTTACGCAGTCGACATACCTTTTTAGCATACTCCCCCTCACCACGAAAGCCCGGTGGTGCATTCATATAAATAATCTCGTCCAGATCACCGTGAAGAAACGCATTCTTCACATCTAATTGATGAAGAGGCCAAGAGTACTCCGCAGCCAGAGAAATAATCAACCGAACAGTAGTCAATTTTGCCACGGGGTAAATGTAGTACCAAAATCACGACCTGATACCTGAGTAAAGCCCTTCGCCACAAGTCTAACCTTGTGACGATCAATAGTACCATCCGCAAGAAACTTCAGGGTGTAAACCCAGCGACAGCCAACAGGCTTCACCCCTGAAGGTAAGGAGACAAGATCCCATGTATGATTACGCTGAAGAGCGTTCATCTCTGTCTGTATGGTAAGAACCCATTAGGGTTCTCGCATAGCCTCCGAAATAGAGCGAGGAACCGGCGTATCTGATAAGGCCATAGTATAAGCTTGAAATGTGGGAGACAGATCACCATAAGAAACATAAGCAGAGATCGGATATAAAATCCTGGCGGTCCAACCATAACGATCAACAGGACGACGATCACGTCGCGGATAACGACACCCTAAATCATACTCCTCCACTGATAATGTCTCATCAGGTAAATGAACTGGCTCAGCACCTGCAATCTCATCAGTACTAACAACAGGTGCATCAATATGCTCAACAAACTGAGGAGTATTATCTGCATCGCCTGAGGTAGAGGGGACATCAGCATGGTGATGAGAGCGAGGGCGACGAACATACACCTGCAAAGGAAGA